AAACATCTACATTGAGAGGAAGCTTTGTATATCTAAATATATACTGGCTTTTCTGGTAATACATCATAATGACTTCCGAATAACATTCATGTTTTTCACTACCCCTTCATAGTTAACGGAAGCATTTTGATATAAAAATGTGGCACAAACCACTGTGATGTTTACTCAATGGATTGTATAGTAAAACTATCTATTAGTTACTTCCGAAAAAGTAAAAGACATTGGAAAACACCTGTTGTAGCAAACTTGAAACACCGTGTAACTTGTTACTCAAATGAATTTGACGGTTTTAAATTATGCGTTTATTTCTAAGTTATGAGTTTCAAACTCTAGGTCATCAACATCGGCCTAAGCGTGACCCTTAGTGGATCTCGCCTGAAATCAAAGTAGTATATACAATTCTTTTCTTTCTAGATCGATATTCGTCTACTGAATAGTCAAAATATGTTTACGAAAAGTCTGAAAAGTTTTAAAAACACACACACTCTTGATAAAGACCAGTGTTGTATGCAAATTTTGTGCAGAAATCTCGTAAAAATAATAGTACCTTGAAAAATACGAAGTTCTGAAAGAAAAGAAAGTAAGTTAGAGGACATAATTCGTGCAAATTTTGTGACATGATAATCAATCAACAAAATCCAACGGTTTCTGCTATCATGTTAAATTTCAACTAACTAAACTGATAGCCTTTAGGGGAGTGAATGGAACTTTTGAATTATTATTTCCTTATGCCTGACAGGTCTCTTCTTGCCATAACCTTCTTCAACTATTGCGTCATATCAGGAATACGTGTTTATGAAGACATTCTGAGGACTACTTCATTACACAATTCGTTAAGCAAATAAAAATAACAATGTAAACTTATATATATATATATATATATATATAAACAATGGAGATACAAAATGTCACATAGGTTTTCCTTATCCTGAGAAAACACAGTATAAAACAAGTGGAAACCTCTACCTATTATCGTAAAAGTTCAATTATAGACTTCAATAAACAGCCATATTTTGTTCGAAACTGAGAGGAGTTTGTCTTGTGAAAGAACAAAATCTGATGAATGCCTTTTTAACAAGTGATAATTGAATATATCCAAATATATTTACATATTTAATTAGAACATCCAGAATAGACGTTCCCGTGAAATACAAAACAAGTATTCAACTGTGTCTGCAATTGAAAAGTAACAAATCTTTCAGCATTCACAGAATGCATAGATCTTTCATCAAAATGATTATAGATACACTTTAAATGATTCTTCGGCGTGTACATCTGTTTTCCAGAACTATACTGACTGATATATTTAGCTACATTTAGCAAAGAAACAGAATTTCAGTTACTAGATCACTTAAAAGTAGCACAAAGCCAACGTATCAATACCCTATTTTGTTGTATAATTTGTCTATATTCTTCCGCTTCACGTGACCGCTTGCTCAATGATTGTTTAACTCAACCTTGATTGTTATCCACTCTCTCAATAGTAGGAATGTTCTCATGGTCTTCTTCCTCCTTTAATTACTACTATTAGTGTTAGGAACTGTTATGAACAACAGTTTTGCCAACTGCAATAATTTCACACTATAGCACATTTCTTCAACACTAGCCGTTTAGGAAGCTCAGTGTATTCTTCACTTGTAAACAGAATTTAGATTATAGACGTACTGACAGCAAAAGTTCTGTCCAACTATATTCACTTACATTACTTTTATTATGTTTAGTTGGCTATATGAAGAGAAATTCGAAATTTTAACTTGGACTGCAGAAAATGTTTCAGTTTATTGTACAAATATTTTTACGAAAATATCCGCCGATATTTTCTGAGTAATTTAGACGTACTGTAAGATATAGATTTTAACAGATCATCTTTAAATATATTTATTTCTTTAACTTTGAGCGTATTACATCAAAATAAATCTTAATACATAACATTAGTGAAAAAAAGCAGACAGAAACTGTAAGCAATAAAAACTTCAACATTATTAGGCAATAAAATGTATTTTAATTTTTACTCAGAATAGTCTAAATGTGTTTCCGTAATTGAATCAAGACAACAAAATATTTACTATGTAAGAACAACATTTAACAACTTATTTTTCTAAGCTTCTATGTCATGATAATTCAGTGAAGGGAAACCGTAAGCAAGCCTTTCAATTTCTAAGAACATGTGAGCTGGTGATTTTCTTGTAAAATGAAATAGCTGTCTACGCTATATGCTTCATGCGTCTAAAATTTTAGAAATTTAACGGAATAAGTTCGCAAATTTGCGTCATATGTGAAGAATTTAACATGTAACAAGAGGAAGTAAGAATGCTTTGTTAACATGAGTCTTCGTGTAAATGTATGCCAGCTTGAATAAAAGAACCTTTCCAGATCTTAGCCAAAAACAATCATTTTCATAACTAAATGAATACGGGAAATGTCATTCCACTGAAGTTATATAAATAAAAGAATGTTACTGTTTGTAACGATGGGCTTCTTATCCATCTCAATTGAGCTAATCAGAATTACCTCTAGAGAATTGCAACTCTACGCATCGTCATCAAAGAACAAAGTATAGAATGCCAGTCAAATCTCTCTACTTCAATGTCATCGACTTCAAAAAGGCGTTCACCAGATAGCAATGATCGAGAAGTGATTTGGAAACTGCTTCAACACTACAGATTGAAGTGATCAGGTCTTTATCAACCTCATTCAACACCTGGCTATATGGCAGTGCCACGTGTCACTCAGGTGATATACAACGGAAAACTCAGAGAGGCGTTCGAAATGCACACAGGAAAAAGACAAGTCTGGTTGCTTATTATCACCGATGACATTCTTAATTTTGGTGGACTGGATTATGCGTCATGCTGTTAAAGAAGAGAAGTCAGGAATATGCTAGACAACCGATAAAAAGACTCTAGAGGATCTGGATTTTGCAGACGATATATGTCTAATGTCACACAAACCCGAAGAATCGCAAGTAAAACCAACAAACTGACTGAAGAGGCAGCGAAAACAAGACTGCAGGTGAACACAGAGAAGATAGAGGTGATGAAGACAACCAATCACCAGTAACAACAACCAGCATCAATCACCATCAACGGAAGAGATTTAAGAGAGTTTGCCTCCTTCACTTATTTGGGAAGCATCGTTTCAACTAAAGGCAGTCGGAAAGGATGAAGGTATGAAATCACCAAGGTGGAACCATTTTGCAAATCTTCTACACTCCGCCTCAGCATAAAGAACAAAATTCGGATTTTCAACACCGATGTGAAGTTGGCTCTTCTATAGGGTCAGAAACTAGCATTGCGTGTCACGAAAAGGATTTCCAACAGCCAGCTTCAGAGTTTCATCAATAGCTGCCTTCGTTGGCTGCATATTGAAGATCAAACGGCCAGAAAGAATTAGTAACAGAGAACTATGCAGTGGAACAAACCAATCAAGAGCCTACTGCTCAACAAATTTGTAGGATTAAATGCAGATGGATCAGGCATACATTCAGGAGGCCGCCGAGTGACATCGCATGCCAGGCCCTCGGATGGAATCTCAATGGGAAGCGACGAGTGGATGGTCGGTACAAGGGTGACATTGAGGAGAGCCAGCGAAGAGCATATAAGGTGTTATGGGCAGTCGTGGACCCAGATGAAGAGCAAGGCAGAAAACAGATCGAAGTGGAGAGATGTTGTTGAAACCCTATGTTCCACTCGGAACGCAAGGGAATAATAATAATAATAATCTAGAGAATTTTGCAGCATTTATCATAAGAAGCCTAAATAAATGAAAGGCTATTTATCAGTGACACTTAGGCTCAGTATTTTAAGTTAAAATGGAAACAAACTGACTTGAATTGTTCGATTTCGATATATCCCAGTTAACGTTAAAAAAAATAACTGACTATCACCAATAACGTATTTACAACCAGTAAAAAAATTTTGAGTATTCCGAAGATCCATCAGGATGGATGAACATCAAATTAATTTTAAACTGTTATCAAGCATTGACAAAATAATGCGTTTTCATACTGTTACTAAAACAGTAAATCATTACAGAAATTACCCTAATCTCTCCGTTGAAAAAATGAGAGATACACATTTTATTCGATGATACACACTTAGAAAATGTCACCGTTTATGTGAATAACAGTTTGAAGACAAGAATGTGCGGTGGAGAAAAAACGCTTCATCAGCCGGGTGTGGCTAGCGGAAAGATTTTCGCTAGTCAACAAAATTAAGGCTTTCTTTAATTCCAAGTAGTCAGACAATGAATCAACAGCTGTTGACAAAAATGATAAATGTCTGAACACTTTCGGTGACATCTTGGTTATTACTATACAATGTGTTTTCTTAAACCTGTAGAATATGAATATTCACCAAAATAATCATTTACTCCACTTAACCTACACACTTCTTTTAATATCCAGTAAAATTAAGCACCCATCAAGTTATGGGTGTTCACTTTGTGTATGGCTAAAAACCGACTATGCTTCACACAAGGATTATTTATTGGCCCCACATCTGCAGTGACAATCTTCATTTACTTGAATATTCTGAAAGCAATTATCGTTTCAAAAACTGTTAGCTACTTTTCAAAGTTCCATCTTTACATATCAAAAGCAACCCCCTAAAATCATGCCATTTATTGAGGGCCTATTTTTGCATAATTTTACTTTTATTTAGAAAGTCACGCGACTTTACTGAACTTCATCCCTGGTATCTATTTAGTTTTCTACCCTTAATCCAATCCAGATATATGAGGCTAGTGTTTTCAAAAATATTTAAATCTTAGTAGTCCAATTTCTCTTGAATTATGTTATAGCCAACAGCAACCACCTTGGAAGCTCAGATAAATACAACATTGAAATAACAAAATCGAGGAATTGTCGCCTGATGCATCGTAAAATGAATAGTTCAGATAAAAATGGAAATTAGATTATAAATGGGAATCGATGCTGCCAATTAAAATGTAAAAATTAAACACCATTAAGCACAAGTAAAAAAGCTGGTAAAAAAACTCACACCAACTTTTTGCATTAAGAACCCTAAAATTTCTACCAGAATGTAGAAAACCTGAACGATTTGTTGAATATAAACAATTTAACCTGAACAGTACAGTCGCACACATCGTTTTATCAATAGTGCGATCGAATGGTTGATAGGGTTAAGATCTAAAAAAGAAGTGAATTCAGGCAGGAAGAATGAATATGGGTAAGAAAAAGCATTGATAATCAGTAACCTAAAGAAAATACTATGTTAAATACTTCTTAGGGGTGGAATTAACTGGTATATCTTTGACTGCACAACACTGATATCAAGAGAATAAGATCAACTTAAATTCAATTCATTCAGATTCTCTAAATAAGCTAGTTATTTGATGGTATTAGATGGTTGGAAGTAATCGGCAGGAAGCCTTAAACCTAGGTTTCGTGCTAGTTGGCACTCGTCAGCAAGGCGTATCTGCAATCTTGGAGGAATTCATGACCTTTCTGAGATTCGAACCCGCGTCACCCAGTGCTGCAGTCAGAAACGTTACCACTGAGCTATTCGGGCTCGCGATTAACCTCCTGTAGGACTGTAGTGGATATTGTGATTTGACACTAGTAACTAGTGTGATGCGTCTAGTCCTCTGACTGGTGTAGACTGAATTCTATCGGTCAGGTTGTAATGTGACCACCATTCTAGCTAGCTCGCCATCATGGTGCACATTGATTTGATGGTATTAGATGGTTGGAGGCTAGTTATTTTTCATGATTCAAATGCCCTAATGATTGTCTTGCCTTGTAGCTGTCAGCTTTTTGGATAAATTTCCACCTAATACTGCTTATTAGCACATAGATCCTCTTGTGCAGTTTTCTATCTCAGTTACATAGGAAATCATAACCTGTGTACATATTTTCGTTTGCTTAGTGAAAAATCCACACACAATATTATCAACTGGACAACTTTTCAAACACAACTTATTGTTCATGATTATACAAAAATGAAATTTGTCGTATCAGTTCAATGAACAGTACAGTCTAACTTGAAATTCCTGTTACTTCATGATGTACTACTTCTGTATCCAACAGCGGGCAAAGTAGTGACAACTCCTTTCTCTCACTTGTCTCAATGAATAATGGATCTCTACCAGTAACAGGCATATATAAATTTTTATATTTACTTGCAGCAAACCACATTCATAATTTTTCTAATTGAAAAACCTTTGAATATAACACTTTATTTATGCAGTACATCAAAATTAGCAGGAGTTTTTATTTCATATTTTTCACTAGTGATATTGTTCATTTTATATATTACAGATTGTTAAAGCTTTGATATGTTAGTTTTTATATGGCGGCAGGCATACTGTATGTCTGTTTGGTTTCTATAGTGTAAATGTTTCCTATAAAAGTTCCTCTAAACCCCAGTGAATAGGTTAAAGAGCTTGTATGAAATATTTTTTATTTATTTTCACATTCACTTAAAATTCACCGTACACAAGTTCCGATTCTTGATACTTCGCCTACTCGGAAAAGTAATGACTGTTTTAATCAAGACAGTAGAACAAAACATAAATCTGAATAAAATAATGCAAAAGTATGCGTGAACTTCTGTAAAAAAAGGGAAGAAAAAAAACGATAGTGCACATTAACCTCAAAAACACTAAATTAATCCGTCTAGTCGACTTATAAAAACATAATTTCTGCATAACTTTGCACACTATGTTGTTTAATTATACACTAATTAACCTACTAAACGATTAAACAACCTAATGTTTTATAAAATGTTTACATTTTGTACAATTTCCTCTGTTTGAGCTAATAAGAAAGCGAGTAAAAAAATATTAATGAGTATGCGATTAGGGCTAAGTCAAATGGCAAATCACTTATCAGCTGGATTTCAAGAAATTAGGCCCTTCACTTTCTGTACTGTTCGAAAGAGGTGCAAACTCCCGTCTCCTGTTTCCAATAAACATATGCATACTTTTTTATTTTCAGTAGTATGGCAACAGGCATAAATCCTCTTACTCCCGACTTGTGATACTAATATGTATTGTTGCTACTCACAGATAAATAAACAGTCACAAAAGTGAGGCTACAACATATTCTTGTAAAGAATTCATCTATACACTTTAGCTTGTCTACAAAGAAATGCTGACCATAAAATTGAGAATCCCCAGCAGCTTTCACATCTCATCATGACAGGAATCCGATCAACTACTTCACTTTGCAAAATTTATATGGATATTAAAGGATATCAGTACCTCTAATTAATTAGAAATAGTGAGGCTAATTGCGTGCTGGGATGACAATATGGCATGTAAAATAGAAGAACTTTTACAACACATGTTGTTAACAAGCTAAAAAATGAAAATTGTAATTATTAGTGGCGGAAGTATACGCAGTTAATACGAAATAATTTTTTATAACTTTCCACGACTTGAAAAAACGGAGCATGTCATTAGACTTTGAAACCGGATAACATATCTTAAAACTCTGGTACATGTAAAATTGCTGAAAAACTATCGTAGAATGCACAATTTACTATCATGCTACTAAAGAAAACACTAATTAACACTTTTTCCTATACACTTCATTATCATTCACTAGATTGAGGGATTCTGTAAGGTGAAATTAAATATCTTCATGCCATCTAGGTGAGGGATTAGTGTAAAAATATAAGGGAAACTCCAAGACGTGATGCTTTGTAGCTTACAAAGAAAACAAACGAATACTTTTAAACAATTGTTCACTATGAATGGTACGCCTTATACGTTTATAATATTTGTTTCAATAAATAAGTCAGAAACTAATGTAAACATTTTGTGGAATTCTTAACCGTACTGCCACTTCTAGAAACAGACCCTTAGAATTAATTACTAAATAAATATCTTATTTTGTTCGCATTATCAGTCCATGTAAACGAAATATAAGGCTAAAGAACTTCACTAAAAGGAATAACATTTATCCATCTATACTTTGAAATAACATTCAGAATAATTTGTAGCATCTGTTATGAGTTGATTTTGCTTCATGAAGTGACACCAATCGGATAATCAGTAAGAATCAGAATGCACTGGATAGGTTTTTTATATTTTATTTCAGGATATACCTACAGTCTGTGCGCAGGAAACCATCTTGAGTTCCTCTGTAAATGAACTTCCTAGTGAACTTGGCTGAGTTTCAAATAAGCATTAGTTCTACGTTATTTTAATTGAATTTGAGATTTTCCAGTCGATTGATTGGACTTAAGTGCTCTGTCTCAGGTTGACATGTCGGCTTCTTGTGCAGATGCTTCGACGATGTCCGGGCATTTAGTTAGTATACAATTGGTGGATGGTGGTTAGCAGTGGAATCCAGGATGCGCATTTCGTCCTATTTGGGACTTGTCACTGGATGTACCTGCATTCCGAAGTGAGTGATGTTGTTTACACCGAGGCTCGAACCCAGTGCCCATACTTCCAAACGCCACCAATTAAATACTAATTAAATGCTCATACATCGTCGAAGCATCTGCACAAGAAGCCGACATGTCAACCTGACACCGAGCACTTCGGTCCAATCAATCGACGGGAGAATGTAAAATTGAATTAAATAATTAATATTTCCCGTTGGACACAAGGTGGCTGTCGCGGCCTGAGTGGCCTAGTGGATAACGCTTTGGCGTTTGAAACTATGGCCACTGAGTTCGAGCCTCGGTGGGAACATCATCACTCACTTCGGAATGCAGGCACATCCAGATAATGAGTCCCAAATAGTACAAAATGCGCATCCTGGATTCCCCTGCTAGTCACTATCCACCAATTAAAAGTTCTGCTTTATGTCTACTAACGACAAAAGTACACTATGATCAGTTTTACAATTTTTTTTTAAATCAGGAAACAAAAAAGTATCATTTTCTTGCATATGAACTTATGATAGCAAATATTTGTTGATCGTTTCACATAGTACTATCAGTCATAACATTTTTTGTTTCTAGTTTTTCGTCATTTCATGAAACGAAAAAAGCTGACATATTTCTCACATTGACTGAAGACAAATCCTAAGATTATTAAACGGAATGTAGCTTGTAACAGCTTCTTTCAAAGACTTTGCCCACGGAAAAATGAAGACACTGATTGCTTCTTATCAGTAATTTTGTCTGCTCCAATACATAATAACTTCCCAAATAAACAGGGGGTTGTAAGTTACCAACTTACCCATTAAACGGATCTACTGCATAGTTGATTATTTTTTCTTCACTATTATTGTGGGACATTTGAATTTCCGAAAATGTCAAATTTTTCACATCAAGGCATATTATCTAAAAAGAAAATTCATGTTCTGGACGTTAGAAACATCATTATAAAAATTTTTTATGATATAATCTAGAGAATATGATAAACAGTTATACGTTATGAGTTAACACTAGATTTCACTTATTAAAATGCAACAGTTTTATTAACTGAAATAGTTCAGTGAATTTATCTTCTAAACTTTGATTATTGAAGACGCAATTTATTATTATTTTATCTACTGTTTCACTAATATTTTGGTGCTATCAAATGTCGAAATTAGATCAGATATGTAGATTTACCTAATCAGTGCGCTACACTGCACTTTTAATAGTTCATAAGATTTATATATCAGAGAATTATTTGTGATCTTATTGTTATTAATCATTGTCTGAGTTCCAAGGGGGACAGAGGGCTTCGGTCAAACATCTCCATTCCACTCAAATCGCGGCCAAAACTTCCATCCACCTCCACAAATGACTACAAGTTTTCATTTCCTCCTCATATTAATCCCCATCGTGTCACATTAAAACATAAAACCTGTCACTTCACACTCCCATTCTATTCGGTGGAATTCGTGTGTCACTGCACTCAACAATTTCACTGCATGTCCACTCCATCCTTATTTGTTCCTTTATATTCGCCCATTGGGCAATCACTTGTTGGTCAGTGACTGTTGATGACTACCAGAGTTCCATGTTTTCTAATTCTTTCTGGTCGGTCACCATGTTTTCGGTATGGGTACAATGCATGTGTATCTGGTGTGTCAATTGTCTGAGGCATGGAAGCAATGGCTTGACATTAGTGTTGAAGTAATGAGCGCCTGTCTGTCCTGCTTCCACCACACTCTCTTGTTTTTACAGCCACACCTCTGTCGCCTGACTGTAGTTGCAAGAAGGTTGCTGTGCCAAGTTAGACAGGTGACATCAACTAGATTTGTCTAGTGATCACAGTTGGTGTTCAATGTTTTTGACTGACTGCGTTTATCATCTCTGCCCTCTCTATGTTCACTTGGAGTCTCGTTTTCACTGCCCTTTCCGCTAATTTCTTTTGCTATGAATTTCTTGACGTGTGGCGCCAATACATAGCTGAACTTTATTGATGTTTCTGGCTATGCACCCTGTGACGTTGAGCTACTAACTGACCGAATCTGCAAAAAACCTTTCCAGAGTCTGTGAAATCCATGTAGAGAGCTGATTACCCCTCCTGCTTCTACTCAACAGTGGTGCGTTATATTGCATTCGCAAATAACTTGTTTTCCATGGGTGTAGTCTTTTCCTGCGAAACTTTACTCACAGAGTTACCTTTAGAATGCAGTATATTATTTTGAAAGAGTGGAATGAGACATGATAAAGTAGAGTTTCTTCCGACCAGTAGGAAACTTCCGTCCATTCCACATGGTAAGAAGCAGTAGCGTGAAGATGTTTGCTACGGTGCTGGTGTTCTTTTTCAGCGCTTATCCAGGGATTCTACCTGTTTCTGTTGCTTCCCAAGCTTTAATTAGCTTTATGGCACTGATGGCTTCTTATTTTGTCAGAGAGTTGATGTTCGCTGCTAGTTCTAAGTCCACAACTGGTGGTCGATTCAAGTGTCCATGAAGTAATCGGCTCCGTGTTTTATCTGTTCCATCTCTTTGGTAACTTGGTTTTATTTACCATCGTAACCTTCATTTGAGCCGATCTCTTCGCTATCAATCACCGAAATATCGACGCTGTGCTGAGCTTCCACTTTCTTGAGATCAAAATGAAGTGTTCCAAATGCATAGTTTTTTTCTCTAGTTTAGTGAAATTGTGCAAATAAAGGTGAATAATGCCTCAGGATTAGTATGAGATCGTGTAAGATTTTAAAATAATAGAGATGATTTGTAGTTCAGATGGAGGATTTGGAATTAGCGGTGTTCTCTAAGCCTGTTGGTTTAATCGCAAAGCTTTTGTCGTTCTTCTGTACAACATCTTCAGCGCACACACAACACCACAACAGATTTAGGGAGTAAATAGCACACTTTAATGTTCACTTTACTACAACACATTTTAATGATAATCTTTTCCCATCTCACATAATGCCTTCATTAGGTAGATAGAGAACTCATAATTTTCTTGACAGCGATAACAGTTAGTTTGTAGTAAGTTAAACTATGAAAAAAGTAGCGGCTATCAGGCTGTTTGCTTATACTGATAAGCAGTGGATATACAGCCTACTAAAGTTATGATCGTGTTACACGAATCAATAAGGGCGGTATACATTTTTATCAGTAATACAGAACTAGTATTATTTTTCTGCAAAAATAAACGCTAAATCATAACACATGTTAGATGATTCCTATTCACTGCCAACTTCTCTAAGTTTATATTCTTCATTTAATGGAAAATATAAAATAATAAATATTGTAGCATCATCCGCTTGAAAGATATACTCAGACAAGTATTTATTTAGTATAAACCCAATATATTTTGATAAATTTATGTTCCCATTGAATTTTAGAGGATAAATAAAAGTCTGAGACTTTCCTGACCACCTGGAATAAAATAAGTCGCTGCATACAGTTTTGAAGTCATGAATGAAATTTTCAAGTAAATCATGTATCAGTGATTCCACTTATTCATAAGTAAAAACACAGTTTTTGTTCAGCGAGGAAATTTCTTTTCAACGACTTTATTTTCAAGCTGTACAGACCTGCAACTAGTTTTTACCAGCCGAAATATGATTAGACAATGCGTCAAGGATAGATTACCGCTTTTGTCCACATCTATGTGTACTTACTCTTTTACCTGCTCTTGTGGAGCTGTTTATATTGGACGTTGTAAGCGTAATCTCCGAAAACGTGTAGCTGAACACTATCCGGTTTGGTTAATGAAAGGCGAACGTAGAACTGCAAAGTCGTCTATTTGTGGTCACCAGTTAGAATCTGGTCATTTAGCCCCACGTGATTCATCTTTCAAAGTTATCTACATGGCAAAATCGAACCGTTCCAAAAGTTTACGTTTTCTTCACTTATGCATAGCCGAAGCTTTAGCTATACATGAATATAAAATAATAATAATTTTTCCTTCACGTTCCCAGTGGAACATAGGGCTCCAAGCTAGTGGCTTGAACTTTCTGTAGCAGTATTAATTTTTACAGGATGGGGTTGCTAGCCTCATGCCCAACCTTTCCTCTATACCAGCATTATTTCTGGCTCAGTGAGGTAAAGGTGTGCGCCGGCCGGGGATCGAACCCCGGACCATATGCATGGTCGGCGAGCGTCCTAACCGCTATACCACCGACGCACACATACATGAACAGAAACCTAAATTATGTGTTCAAAAGCGTTTTGTCAAACCCATTTCTTTACCTTGGTCATAATAATGTTCTTTCTAGTTTTTATTTTATTTTACCACTTGAATTCTTTCCACTTCACTTCACATCTTCATTCTTATCGTAATCGTATTCCTAATTTTCTAAATTTTTAGACAACACTTGACATTTATGATATCAATTCACTTATAAAGCAATCTTTAATAATTTTGTAATTTATCTACTTCAACTCTACCCCTTATAACTTTTATCACATATATCCGTACATTGACTGAGCAATTATTTAGTGCCACTTAATAACCTTTTTCTGTAATATAAATACGACTGTACAGCTTGAAAATGAAGTCGTTGAAAAGAAATTTCTTCGCTGAACAAAAGCTGTGTTTTTACTTATGAATAAATGGGTATTTTTCGAGATTCCACTTATCACAGCCGTATATTAAAAAAAAATTCTGTCTTTCTACGTGAATAGAGTTACATAATGAAGGTAATTATATGCAAATCTTACCGAATTATGCCGTAAAAAGTAAAATTTTCCATTCAGCCAATCGTATTCAACCCAGGGAAATAGGATGTCTTCGAAGGAAATATTGTGAAACATAATATCTTCTATCTGATTGCCATGGATTAAAGAAAACTGTTTCATGGCACCGTCCGAATGAAATGTGAACAGCCTGTTCATTTTTAAATCTCCATGGACAGCTGTTAGTTTAAGAAAAGCATGCAAAAATACTAATAGATTCAGGAGTTGAAGGATATTTTTTGGAGAAATGAAACTATATAGTTCACGTATACTTTACCAGAGAAATAAGACAATAATATTTTTATTGCCTTTGAGAATTAAGCCTTTGTGTGTAATCGATCGTCATCATGAATTGATGGACATTAGCAGCTGAATTCATGTGAACAATCATTTTGAATGAACGACTGTAATATAAAATACTCAAAGTTTAAAGCCATTTAGTATCATTGATAGGAGGTTATCAACTATATGTACAACTCTTGAGTTGATTAGTTTTACTTTCGGTTGGATGAGATGCATAATCCATTATGTACTACATTTTGAAGACTCCCATACTTCAAAATCAATTTACAAAATATGCAACAGATGAAACCTGCAGTGTTCAATGTCTCATTTTGTTTTTGCTCACACAGTCATAACTAAAATATTCATAATTAGGCTGCAAACTGATTCAATTAGGTTTGCGAGGGAAATGTTCGAAATATAGTATTTCACCTATTATACTTCCGTATGGTAAAAATATTACAGATAAAATAAAGCGAATAGCTATACGTGCTCATCACTCAGTACAATAGCCCAGTAAACCTTATTAGGTAAGCTTTTCAGTGTAGACTTTGTCATGAAGTGTTGTTACTTCGAGGATCCGTGAAAACCAAGGGATATTAAACAGTTAAAGACCTTTTAACAGTGTGCTGCTAATGCTGGAACTCGAAATCGAGCGGAACACGTCGGCCCTACAGCCTTAGGAATGAAACACAATGAATCATGAATTCTATCAGTTTGCAGTATATCACCATTTCTAGACAATCCCGTGAATCAGTTTTAGGTATGACACTGGCAACTTTTATTTCCTGTACTTACGGGAGTTACAAAACTGCCATAAAGCAGTGTTCATTGTGTACAACAAAATTTGACTGCATATATATACACTATTCAAAGGAAGATTTCAACGTTTTTTGTTAGAATTTCATCATTTATGAGTAGCTTTATGAGCTTATAGTCTACCTTTGTGACCCCCACTGGACCTTGTAATCAGTCTGTCATGCTTTTCATCTACATTTTTACAGATAACAGATAATTTCTGTGAGTAAACATATCACTGTCAGAAAACTGAATGACTCCTAAATTAGGCTGTTATTGTGACCTTCTTTGTGCAAATCACGGACCAAATTGTGTTCGCATCTGCATTCATAATGATGAGCGATACTCCATAATATATTTAAAAGTTAACTGGCATTATAATATGATTAGTATTGCCATCAACTGCAAAACTATAAAATGTTAATTTCTGTAAAACACATTACTGCATTTGTCTAAAGATTCCAGCTAGTTGTTTTCCTAATTTACGTGTAGAACAAGTGCGAAGTAATTAAGATGGACTCTTAAATTGCTTTTGTATGCTGGATACATATTAAAATATATGCATGAAAGTTTTGCACTAAACGCCGTAAAATCTGAGTGATCAATAGATTTATGTGCAAATAAGAGTAGAATAAATGGGTACTTCAGCACGAGATTGCAAATTACAGATAACCAAGAAAACTTAAACTTCTAAACGCTTCCAAGAAAGACTGTTTCAATTCGTCCGATACATTTTGTCTTTGATTATGTTTAGTCTTAATTTAATTACTGGAGTATATGATTGATGGTCTGTCTAACATTAGATGAAGTCGTCATTCAAAAGCATTTTTTTCACAGATTTTGCTACTATTCCCTGGAAAAATAATTTCCGTCAGCCAAATGTTGGCTAAAGAGAATCTCAGGCATCTCGATAGCATATACAAAACCATACAATATGACACTCATAAATACATTATAAGTTAATATGAGCAAAATATGGTTGAAATTTTAGACAAATTACTCTGTCATATAAATTGGTCCACAAGAAATGACTTTAGAACGAAGACTCAGTTTTCTTATCCAGTGTAAATCTATCAGATCTGAGCATAACCTTTTAAAAAACATACTGCATACATACTTACAAACATTACTATTCTGCATACAATGCAATCATTTACATTGTCGCGTAGATTACTTTACGGTGGGATAGCGGTAGAACTAAATCTTACAGTGCAATTGAAGGTGATGATGATATCTTCACACGAGTAAACGCATACAGAGAATGAAAAGCACTGTCTGTGAATATATTTTAAAATTGCCCTTTAAACTCCTTTCAAGCTTTTATAAAGAGTTGTCACGGTTATACGGTTTAGTTTATGACAGCCTATGGAACTAACTATAAAAGCCAATCACTTTGATGTAAAAAGAAAAATCTTCAATTCTTTTTGCTACCAGCAGCTATTTACCCACACTATTTCATAGCATCTCAAAAACTTGACTACACTTCGGGTGTAAGGCGATGTTCTGTGTACACTTTAATTATATTCTTGCATACATCATCAACTTATTGGGAACAAAATCATGTTGAAAAAGGGGGGGTGGGGAAAAATATTATTAAGTAAATTTTACATTGAAAATCAACTTTTTATTTTTTTATTTAAAAACCCTTTTTCTCTTGAAAAGTTATTCTACCAAATGACACAGCTGATAATTTTCAGTCTTAATTTTTAGTTTCTAAGATTTTCTTTTAAAATTGCAGAAATGTCATTTAATAGTTACTGCCTTCTCCCCCACCACCTTATTTTCTTTTCCATTTTTCTTAGTTATCTGATATTATGTTTCAAGCCAGTCAGAAAGTGATTGTTTTCATAATACGCTTATGCGAATTGGCATCAACTTTTTCAGTATTAGGCCAAAAAAAAATGGTAATGTGCAAATATTACATTTTCTGATGGCAAGAAGACATTGGTACATTTGACAGAGTAAAGAGTCAATGATCACAATAACATTAAAGTTGGTAGTATCAAAAGAAATATTTTCAACTGTTATATTCTTGGCATCTCTCATATTTAAAACTGTTTGTATAGAACAACTGGAGGGAACTAATGTGGACGGATACTTTTACGATCTTTGTAAATAATTCAGTCAAGCATAATTTCATATAAGCTAGATTATTTTAAAGAAAAGGAATTGCGTGTTGCATGCTGGAATACAATTAGTTAATGGATTAGTTCCCTTTATTTTCATGTTTCCAAGTTATTAGAATAACCGTCATTTCGAACTTTTTCACTTAAAATGTTTTTTAGAGAACGTAAAAAGTATTTAGCTTCTGAAAGAACAACATACTGTTACGGTCACACTTTAAACTGCTCTCAAAACAATGTAAGTTTTTGATGAAACTAGTAACCACACCGAGTTTTCTGACAAGTATTAGTTGCTAGCTGGTCATCTAAAAGAAGTCGCATATTTCCACTTATATAGGAAGTACTTAGAATTTCTATTCTAGTCTCTTTGTAATCACTTGGAATTGGCTTGTATGAAGCACTGGGTTACGTTAATTCTTAATTCTTCAAACAAAGGCTATAAATTTCTAAATGTCATCCAGCTTTAAATGGACTTTACAGGTTGACTCCAACATAGAAGCATTTCAATCTAATTCTTTATATCCGTTTGAGTGAAACATTCTGGATATTTTGTTAAGATAGCTGAGAAACAGGTTTTGAAAAATGGTCAGCTAGCAGTATACTGAAGTCTTGTTATTAGACCGTCTTTACATTTTTGTCCAGTTGATGACCAGACAATTTATTCGTGTAAAGTTTTCCATATCCCATTGTGTCAGATAACAAAGTTTAATCATGTACTACAGTTCCATATCACTGTATAGTTTTGATCCTAGAATATTGAGCTGCAATATTCTAGCCTTCGTTGGAACTGAAGAAGAGCGTTGAAATCTCATCTATGCACATTCACCAAAATATCGAGTATAACGAAAAGAAAAGGAATTTATTACTGCGTTTGTATTTCGCATTAACGTATTTAGCTAGACGAATACTCAGGTTATCAAACTAGCTGTAACAGCTGATAAGCTTCTACAAAATAGAAAACCTAAAAGCATATAAGCCAGCAGACAGGTTTCTTTTTGACAATTTCTCACCAAGCTGAATGGTTATTTCAAGGTTTATATTTCTAATGTTAGCTATCAACAAGGGTCATAGGTTATCGTTAGATGGTAAACCAAAGTGTATGAGGAATTGCAATGTGCAAATATTGATGAAAAGTCTTACGTAATCGCGAAAGTGTTCAACTAACTAAATAATGAATAATTATTTAGGGATAATTCATTTATAACAATAGCACATAGAACTGCAGGTGAATAACAAAAAATTCAATTCAATTCACTATGCGACAAGAAAAAAGAAATTGACACTAAGTATCTGACAGTAAAACAAGCTAGGTAAAACCTTTTTGAACACAGAACATGGATTTTCATCTGTGGATGGCAAGAGCTTCGGCTGCACGAAAGCAGTGAAGGCAAAATCTTTTCAGCCATCTCGAACTTGTTTTATATATGATGCTGAGTCGATTGTGCCAAACCTCTGACCCTTTTCGGCAAATGACATTGGAAATATAAACCCCAAAATGACTGTTCAATTTTATTAAGAAGTCAGTGGAAGAGACCTCTTGTTGGACTTATATGTCCTTAATTCAAATCGCATAGAAATACTTCATACCTTCAAGAAATTTAAGTAGAAAATTGCTTTTATGATAATTTTTTCTAGATAATATTCAATTAATTGCAACTTCTCATTGCTAATTGAGCAGTTTCTCTACTGATTGGTGGTATTACTTACGTACTCATATTAAAATATAAAAATTGAAATAGGCTGAATAAAAATAGGCTTTCAGGACGATAAATATGAAGAAATAATAAATTCTGATCTTTTTCGCTGTTACAACACAAGGAATACTCCTACATACGGTAGGTTAGATATGCTTCCAAAAAGTTGTTTACGATCATTTTCTAAACTATGCGTGTAAACAATTCATTCACCTGGTCAATTAAC